GGGGAAGTAATGTGTGGAAAGTGTCCCATGGAGGCGCATTCACGGGTACTGATGCTGAGCATCCAATATATGTCCCCCAGGCCAGGCACTGGGCCCGACATCCATGGTGGGGGTGATCCAGTCCCTGTAGGGGTATCTCCCGTGCCTCCCAGGGAGTCCATTCCAACACCCAGATGCTCTGTTCAATTTTCAGCAACGTCTACCCTTATTTCTCAGTTTTATCTCTCTAAGTTACCAAAGCAAGTCCATGTCACACTTGTTCCTTCAGGTATGGGAGTCCCCTGTTCCATTCCCATCCTGTGGCAGATTACCATGGAGTCAGAGATTTGGAGATTTGTGTTAGCTTTTTTTTTTTTTTTTTCTTGAGACAGGGTCTTGCTCTGTTGTCCAGGCTACAGCACTAACCTCCAGGAGTCAAGTGATCCTCTCAACTTAGGCTCTCAAGTAGTTGGGACTACAGGCGTGCACCAGTGAATCCAGCTAATTTTTCTATTTTATGTAGAGACAGGGTTTCTCCATGCTGCCCAGGCTGGTCTCGAGCTCCTGGGCTTAAGCAATTCTCCCACCTCAGCTTCCCAAAGTGTTGGGATTATAGGGGTGAACCACCACACTTGGCCTGGAGGTTTGAATCCCAGCCCTGGCTCTTAGAGACTGTGTGATCCTGGCTGGTCACATCACCTCCTGGGGTCTTTCTTGCTTTCTTCAGACATAAGGTAAGAATAATCATAATCGAATCACAGGTTGCCGTGAAGAGCAAACAAGATGAGCTCACACAACGGTCAGGACCCAATAAAGGGCAGCAATTTTAACATCAAAATACATCTGTGACAAAATAAAAGTTACTTAAACTTTGTGTAGGAGGCTTCTTGCAAGCTTTAGGATGGGGAAAAACAGATTTGGTGGATCTCCCAGTTTTATTTCCTAGACTATGCCTATGCCACCAGTGAAGCCATTGTCTGGATCATTAGTTGTGGTTATTTTCTCTGTTAGGGTCCCAGTCGTCTTCTCCTCCCTGAGCACACGCTTCATGTGACCAGCATCTCAGTATTTCTGTCCCGCTCTTGTTACTGTGAGTTATGGCTGTCATTGACACCACCCTACAGCCCTTCAGAAAGACTTCCGCCTGACGCCCACTCACTTCCTGCTGCCCTCAGCCAAGCATCATGGCCGCCCAGAACAGACGTGATGGGGATCAGGCTGTGCTTGGCCCATGGGCTTCTGCTGAGAGGAAACTCTTTGTCAGCTGGGACGTACTAAAGAATGGGCTGAACTCTAGGTGGTCCCTACCCCACCTTACCAACCACACACCCGTTATGTCGTCCATTCCACTCTGCCTTCCCCTTTCTCCCACCCCATAGGAGTACCTTCCAGATCCACTCACCTTTTACAGAGGAAATGACCAACAAGACCACCAAGGCCTGCCTATCCCAGAGAGCAGCCTTAGAGGGATGCAGATGGGGTTCACCAACATCATTTTTGAGGCACATGCATAAGGTGTTAAATAAAATCAAACCACAGCAGACAAAATTTCTTCCCAGTTCCTTTGATCCTTCTGGTTACATTGAGGAGCAGGCCTCAGTTTCCCACCAGGGCAGATGCTAACACTTCCTCTACTCTCCTTTTAATCTGGAAAGAATAGCCTCTGGACTGGGCACCTCTGCAGGCAGCTGGACCTAGCTGGAAGTTAATATCTTGCTTGCTTTTGATTGTGTTTATTTTTACCCAGGCCAGCCAAACTGCTTCTCCACTTAGAACAGCTATACACTGGTTTTCCTTTAATTTTTATGTTTCAATTTATACAAAGGGATCCGTTAAATTTTCAAAAATATAGAGGAATGAGTTTTAAAAAGTGTACTTGGATTATGGCAAAAATCATAACTGTGGTACATGAAAAACTACCATTTGGAAACATTACTTGGACACAAACAGGAATCCAGGCAGGGAGAAAGTGAGGCCCTGGAAGGGGCTTCCCCTCAGCTAATATTTGGTGGAGCTGGGCCGATGGAGGGAGTCACATTTGTTATGGGCTCCCTATGCACTAGCATTGTACACACCCAGTTGCTCTATACAAGCAGCCTGCGAGTTGCTATTTTCCCTGCAGAACCCAGTTCTGAAAACTGGGTTTCAGAGAGGTTGGGTGACTTTTCCAAAGTCACACAGCCAATTGAGGTAGAGGCAGGACCAGAGGCCTTGTTTCCTGGGCCTATGTTCTTAGAAAGAACCCTAGCCTAAAGCCTTCCCCAAAAAACCCCTCTCCCTGCCCTGTACATCTGGGGAGCTGAGTATATAAGGCCTGAGCTGGCCTTTGTCTTGACATGAAGGGCAGAACTTCTCCTTGTACTGACCCACAGCCAAATGCTGACTCACCTCCTAAACCCACAGAACTCAATTTTCTCCTACAAAAGCCAAGTTCAGCCCAGCCAGAATTCTTGTGCCAAAGAGTACCTACTTGGGGCTAGGGCCTCATTTATATTAAACTGACTTTGCATACAGCCTTCTGTGTTAGCCCATTTTAGACCTTAGTATACTGAGGCCCAGACTGGTTCTATAACTTGTCAAAATTCACCCCGCTGAGAAGAAAAAGAACTGAAATTCCCAGTCGCATGGGTCTAGCTCCAATGCTGACATCAGCATCAGTATCCCTTCCCTTGACCTGTATTTCAGAGAAGCCCCAGTCTTCCCTGACCCCACTATCTCTGCAGTAACCTGAGTCTCTCATCCCTGATCTCCCTCCTGGGGCTGGAAGCACTGCTTTTGGCAGCATCTGTTAAAAAGGCCACATGGACTCCCACTATGACAGTGTGTTCCTGGGAAGGGGTGGGACTGGGGATCTGAAGGAGGCAGGTAGGTCCAGCTTCTCCCATGACAGATCCTGCCTCTGGGGTATTCACACCCTTGGCCTCGAGGGGTCAGAGCAGAGGGAAGGGTCTGGACTGGGAAGTCAGAAATCTGTCTGGTGGACACTCACTCACTCCCAGTGACCTTGGGCAAACTGTAGCCTCTCCATTTACTCATCTGTAAAATGGAAAAGAGCTTCAGGAATTTTGAAGTTGCAGGCATCATATGGCCCACAAGCTTGTCTTGGTGTTTTTAACGAAAGATGAATAATGCTGAATATTTAATCTCTCTAAAGTAATGTCGGGGGAGTCAGATAGAGGGTCTGTCTACAAAAAGTACATCTCCCTCCCTTCCTCCCTTTCTTTCTTCCTTCCTTCCTTGCTCCCTCTCTCCCTCCCTTGTTCTTTTCTTCTCCTTTCTTTTTTTTCTCTCTCTTTATTGCTTTCTTTCTCTTCCTTTCTCTCCCTCCATTCCTCCCTCCCTCTCATGTCCCACCCTCTGTCCCTCCTCTTTTCTTTCTTTTATCTTTGCTTGTTTGTTTATTTGTTTGTTTCGGGGGAGGGCACACTGATGCATGTATGGAAAGGAAAACTCTTCCTGTTAATATACAAAGTGAATCTGTGGCCACGGCTGCACCCCTCATTTTCATGATCTGCTGCCTGTCCCAGGAGGCTGTGGCTCTGGACTGGAAGGGCTGGAGGTCCCCTCCCTGAGGACAGCCTCTGCAGCTGCTGGCCAAAGGCACGGCAGCCCCAAGAGTCAGCCGCCCGAGGCTGAGTCTGGAATGTCTTGTTTTGTTGTGTCATTAACACAGTGTTCATTTTTAGGGCCTGACTTGGGAACGGGTGCCAAGAGCATTCCTGAGGGGTCAGAAGGGAGCGTGTTTATTGTCAGGCTACAGAAGTAACTTCCTTCAGTAATCCCTCAAGTACTCAGCAGACCTTCATTAGGCACCTACTACTGTGTACCAACCACTACACCGGGACCCAGAGATGCAGAGAGGATCAATTAGCTCTAATCCCTGTCCTTGGACAGCTCCCAGGACTGTGGGAGAGGCTGACCTATCAAGGGACAGCCCCCAGGGGTAAGAGCAGTGACAATGGAAAGCCCAGTGCACCGTAGGGTAGAGATGGTGACGCAGAGGGGTGGCCTCCAGGCTGCTTGAGTGCACTGGCCCTTTATTCTAGGGAATGTACTAGAAGGACATAGTTATCTCTCCAAGAGGGCCTTTTGCAAAGGTATTCTTTTGCAGTGCGTGATTTTTTTTTTCCTAATTGCAAGACTCACTTATTCCTACTTTCAAAAATGCCATGAAATATATGAGTCCAGGAGCCGCGGTGGCTCAGGCCGGTTGCTCTGGCACTCGGGGAGGCGAGGCTAGAAGTTCGAGGCCAACATTGATTGAAAAAAAAAAAAAAAAAAAAAAAAAGAAATATGTGAGTCCAACAGTAAACATTCCTCAGAGATAACCAATGTTGGCTGTGTGCATTTCTTCAGCATTTTCTTGCAGGCTTCAGCATAACTAACACTCCTGGGGCCTCATGTGCCCCAGACCTCCTGAGAAGGCAGCATGCAACCGCTCACTAAGGTAAGTACCATCTGCACGTCCAGCTTACATGCGGAGAAATTGAGACACACTTGGAATGAGTCACTTGGTCCAGATCACGTAGGAAGGAAATAGCAAACCAGGACTCAAACCCAGGATATCAGGCTCCCTCCGAGCCCTTACTCCTGAGAGGCAAGAAGTCAAACGTGGCTAGGCATGGTGGCTCAGGCTCGTAATCCCGGCATTTTGGGAGGCTGAGGCAGGAGGATGACTTGAGACCAGGAGTTCAAGACCATCCTGGGTGACATAGTGAGAGATACCATCTCTACTGAAAAATTTAAAAATTAACTGGGCATGGTGGTGGCATGACTGTAGTCCCAGCTGCTCAGGAGGTTAAAGTGGGAGGACTGCTTGACCCCAGCAGTTTGAGGCTGTTGTGAGCCGTGATTGTGCCACTTCACTCCAGCCTGGATGACAGAGCAAGACCCTGTCTCAAAAAAAAAAAAAATTAGTCCAGTAACTCCCCCATCCTCACCTGGCTAGTGTAGGAGCCAAGGTTTGCACCCAAGCAGTCTTATTCCATAACACTTGGACTCAACCATGCTCTTTGCTGCCTTCAGCCTAATGATTATATATATATACTTACATGAAAACATTATTTACCAGTGTCTCATGGTGAACATGATATTCTGCACTTCAAGTAGATCTTGTATCACTTTCACTGTTATTACAAGCAAATCTGCCTCCTTCACTTCAAGGTCAATTTGGCAATCCAAATCTCAGCATACCATTGTTGATTTGCCCAATGTCTTCTTTATAATTTTTTTGGGTGGTTTCTGATTATCTGCGCTTGCAAACAATGCTTCCACAGAGATCTCGGCACAGGTTGCTGAGAGTTGCATCAGGACTGATTCCTAGAAGAGGGACGGCTGGGTCAGTGGTGTGCACCTGCACACCCTGGCATACCTGCCCAGAGGCCCCTGCAAAGACTTCCAGGGCTCATTTTCATCACCTAAAGGAAGAATGTCAGAGCCAGGTGGCGTTCAAAGGCTTTTTCTCACCATAGCTGGTGGTGGGACTCCATTTCACAGTTTTCATGCACTGTGCATTTTTATCTGTACTCCTAGATGGCTTTGGGAAGGTCATGATCTAAAAAGGAGCAAAAAAAGGGAAATCAATCATGCTGTTAGCAAATGCCATGGTGCAGTCAGCAGCTGACATTTCCAAGAGACTTGGCTTGGCTTGGCAGTTCTTGTGTGTAAGTTACACAGTGGTGCCTCTTCCTCCAAGCAGCCCCAGAGAGCAGAATCCCGGCTGGATTTCAGGTTTTCTGTGCCCCCGTGGCCAGGCGCCCTTGTGCAGTGCACAGCCTGACCAACCTTACACATTATTTTAGTTAGAACTGTAAGCTGGATCCCAGCTGCCTGGACTCAAATCTAATCTTTAAATCCTATTAACCATATGCCCTTAGGCAAGCTACTTAAACTCTGTGTGTCAATTTCCTAGTGTGAAATAGAAGCTGATTATAATAATAGTGCCTCCCTTATAGGGCACAGCAGCAGCCGTGAGGAATTAAGTTAAAATATCAAAAGCCCTTAGAAGAGTACCTGGCATATAATAAACACTCCATAGACGTTTGCTACTGAGCAATTAATAATCCTAGTGTGCCATTATTTAAGGAGGCGCTACCATTCCGCCCCAAGGCTTTATTTTTCTCCAGATACAAAGACTTTCTTGGGCTTTCAAGGTAGCGTGTTTTGGTGGAAAGATGCTGGGTTTGGGAACCAGAGATAATGGAGTTAGAATCCTGGCTTCTTTCCCTTCCATCCTTGTGACTTCAAGCAACTCCCTTTGCCAATCTCACCTTGACTGTGAAGAATTTTGTTTCTATATTGGAGACCTAGTAGTGTCCCTAGCAAGGAACTGCACAGTGGATACTGGTTTCTCTCCCAATTCAGGACACTAGGACTCAGCACAGGCTAGAAGGTGAGGGTTTGGGTCATTTCCCAGGAAGGGGGTGGGAGGTGGAAGAATCCAGAGAGAAGCACACATTTTGTTCCCAGTGCAGCCTTGCCAGCCTCTCGAAGGCCTATCCCAGGGCCATCCCAATGCCCAGCCCCTGGCAGGCTTCCACATGCCAGGCCAGCATTCCTGCACTTCCAACCTTGCTCATTCAAGAGCCAACACTTGCACCACCTCCTCCTGGAAGCTTAGAACCTTTCTCCAAACTAGGATTATTCCCTCCTAAGACCTCTCACATCTCTTAGCTTGTGCCTTTTTTGCAGGTGCTTTGATTCCCCTTGTACTGAGCTGCTTCTATTCTCTTTAGGAGACTGGCAACTTCCTAAAGGTAGAGGTTGGTGTAATGGGGGTGGGAGCATTGGCAGATGGTGAGATGGGGACATTGGAGTTGTCTATCATGGAACAGTTCCAGGGTTTAGTTCCTAGTCCCACCTCTCACTAAGCCAATATCCTTGGGTAAGGCACTTAACATCTCTGCTTTTCTTTTCCTTCCTTAGCATGAGTTGGGAGATAAGTGGCCACCGTTACTGAGTGTCTACTCTGCCCTGCTCTGCACCTGTGGATCTTCAGAACAAAGAAGCTTAGTTCTTCTCCTGCCCATTTTGTAGGGGAGGAAACAGTGGAAACTCAGAGGTGCAGACATTTGCCTAAGGATATACAGAAGATAAGGAGCAGAGCTGACATCAGAACTCAAGCTTGCAAATGTGTATGTGGGCCACCATGCCGCATCTGCCACCTCTCTCACAGCACTGCTGGGGGAACAGGGGAGGCATTGGAGGCGGCGGGCTTTGCCCTACTACGCATGGCATATGCATTTTAAATAAGGACTTTGATCTGGAAGCAGGATAGGGTATTTATTGCTTCAACTCAGCTTGATTTGGGCTCTTTTGTCCCACAAATGACACCAACCCTCACCAGGCCTGAAGACCTTGTCTGGAAGAGAAGGAGCAGTGGCGTGAAGTCAGAAGAGGCGCGATTACCTGCCAGCTTTGCCTCTGTGTTCTCTCCCTGAGCCTCTGGAATCACATTTCAGCCTTGGTTTTGCTATGAGAATTTGGAAGCAGCATGTGTAAAAACCCTGGCTCAGACTGGGCACTGGATGGACATCAGCAGCGAAGATTCACCGAGTTTGCCCCAAGGCAGGCAGTGGAACAGGTACATTAATGCATATCCCAAATCCTCACAGCCACCCAGAGGTAGACCCTGTTACTGTCATCACAGCTGCCCAGTCAGAAAACTGAAGTTCTGAACAACGCAAGAACGGCATTGTGAGTGGATTTTCAACCCAGGTGAGTTGGCAGACATGTGTAAACGCTAGATTTCACCATTTAGTTTATGACACAGCACAACCCACGAGCTTGGAGTGTTTATATGAGAATTCAGAAATACAGACTCAGGGGCAGGCATTGCCTGGGTCCATGTCCTTTCCCCCGGGCTGTCTGCCCCTGGGCTGTTTATAATGTTACTGGAATTTACTTAATGCCAAGCGAGTAACAGACTGTTCACCAGCATTTGTTTTGTGACTGTCACTTTTAAACCAGGTTGGAGTCTAACCCGATAAGGGCCAACCCAGTAAACAGCCTATGGAATGACAAACATTTCTGTTAGCCTCAGCAACGGCTACACATTACGCCTCCTATTGGCAGAAACTGCCCCTTTGTAAAAGAGATGGTAGTTTGGGAATGACATAAACAAGGGTAGAAAAAGTCAATTCCTGCAAACCTTTTTTTTTTTTTTCTGAGACAGAGTCTCGCTGTCTCCCAGGCTGAAGTGAGTGGCACAATCTTGGCTCACTGCAAGCTCCACCTCCCGGGTTCACGCCATTCTCCTGCCTCAGCCTCCCGAGTAGCTGGGACTACAGGCGCCCGCCACCACACCTGGCTAATTTTTTTGTATTTTCAATAGAGATGGGGTTTCACCACATTAGCCAGGATGGTCTTGATCTCCTGACCTTGTGATCCGCCCACCCTGGCCTCCTAAAAGCCTTTTTTTCCCCCTCATCTTACTGTATCCATTCCTTTTACATGAACTGGCATGTTGGAAGAGCATTACAATGACAGGTGCCTGGGTTTAGGCTGCGTGACATCAGGCGAGTCACTTATCATCTCTGAGTATTACCGTCTTCAAGAGGAATAATTACACGTATCCACCTGAGTGGTGAGGAATAATAAGACAGAAAAAAGCAAAGACAGTGCTGACAGATGGGCAATGCTTGATTTATGTTAATTTATTTCCTTTCCTCACTGTTAGGCGTAATTTTATCTGTTTCTTTTTCAGAAATGCATTTGAGTAGAGATGTGCGTTTGTAAGAGGTTGCTCTTGAGAATGTGACAAAAATCGCTGTGTGCCACCTGGCTTTCTTCTTTGTGAGTCTATATCTAGGCGTGGACTAGATTGATGCTCTGTGGTATTATTCAAACCAACAGCATTTATTGAATACCATTGTAAGTTTGGCCCGATGGAGCCAGGAGCTGGGGAGTTGAGGAAAACCTGGTACTGCGGAAAGGAGCTCACATCCCAGCTGGGAAGGCAGGAAGCTCTGGCCTGAATAAACCAGGGATTGAAGAGACAAGCACAGCCTCTGAGTATCCCCAGGGAGTTATTCCTCCAGATTGTGGGGCTCTGGGGATACTTTCTGGAGGAGGTGGTATGTTCAGAGTCCCCCAAACATGAGTGAGGCTGCTACCGGCAGAGATATGGAGAAAGGCATCCCAGGCAGAGGGAACAACAAAGAAATGGCTGTGCTGTGCAATTTGTGAAACAGTCATGGAGAGCAGTGGCTCTCAAACTCAAGTGAGCATTGGAATCGCCTGGTGGGTGCATTAAAACATAGACTACTGCACCCTGTGCCAGCACCAGAGCTCCCAACTTGGGCAGTCTGGAGAGCAGCCTGTGAGTTTGCATTCTAACAAGTCCCCAGGCGCTGTTGCTGCTGTTGGTCCACACAGGAAGAAGACGTTGTAGAGGAAGCAGATAGGTTGGATGGAGCCAAAGCATGGAGGAACGCGAGCACCCGCCTGGTGCATCACTCACTGGCTATAGCCATCAATGTGTTCATTCAGTCCTTTACTGAGCAAGCAGCACCTCTGAGCCCTACTGTGTGCTAGTACAGTGATGGACTCTAGGTATACAGCGATGAATACAGCAGTCTGGGTTTTGCCATATCTTTACCCTGCTAGGGTTCTCAGAGGAGGATGGATGATATCCTATGTGACGTCACAGGCTGATGACCCTCTGGGCATCCAGGCACAGAAGGCAGGGGCTCTGGAGGTGAAAGTTGCCTTCAACCTCATGGCCCTTTAACAAAAGGCCTCGTCTTACCCATGTTAAATTCAGTTTAGTTTAAATGTTTCTTCCTACATAGTGAACTATCACCTAACTGGATGTGTTAACAGGCTATAACCAACTCTAGTACCAATCTCTGGGTTTCAGCCAATCAAAGACGGCCAACTGTTCAAACCATGTTCAAACAAGTCAAATGCCAAGCTAGAACCCATCCAGCTGTTTCTGTACCTTACCTCCGTTTTCTATATGTCACTCTCTTTTTTTCTGCCCATAAATCATCCTCGACCACGCGGTAGCCTGGAAGCCTCCCTGAACCTATCCTGTTTTGGGGATTGCCCAATTCAAGAACCATTTTTCACTCAATTAAATTCTGTTACATTTAGTTTTTCTAAATGTAAGGTTTTTCTAAGGTTTTCCTTTAATGCCCAAAACACCCTGTGGTGTTTAAGGGAAGAATTGCTGCAGAGCTGACTTTCCTAATAATGAGGGTGATTGAGTCTAATTGTTGCAATATAGGATCGGCTGCTCCAACTGAGACCAAAAACAATGTGATGGAAACAAAAGAGTATTTTATTTCTCTTTTCATGCAATGGTCTGGGCTTGGGAAATTTCTGGAAGAAATGTTTGTTTCATCGGGGCCCTGGCTCCTTCCTCTGTACTTCTCCACCCTCCCTGGGGTGTTGCTTCATTCACAGGGTTGGCGATGATTTACAGCCAGGTGCCCCAATGCCTAACTCGTGGGCATGTTGCATGGAACACAAGGAGAGTGGTGCTCTCTGGAGTCATGCAACACAGTGCTGCCTCTGTGAGAAGAGAAACAGGAAAGGAGTGTGAAGAGGACA